ACAGAAAACCATGGTATCACTGCAAGGCAATTACTTCAGGCAAGTCATAGAGGGTTAATACTGGTCTACATCAAACATCCTTTACAAGTTTCACTTCCACAAGTAATTCACTGGATTATAGTGCCCCCAGGTCTATCAGCAGAGTCTGCTTTCACAGATTTCATAACCAGATTACATATCTAGAATTACTAGATGCATCTTGACTGGACTTTCAGATATCATAGATCAAGAAACGGGTTAGAACAAGCCAGTAAAGAGATTGTCTATGTAAGCTACTGCAGTCTTTACAAACTTCCTAAAAAGATGTTGGATTTTCAAGTCTAGCCCTGTGCCTCAGCCACGATAACACAGTTCCACAGTAAGTAAACTGCACATCTTACTATACCATGGTCACCTTCAGAGGGGGAGCCAGAAGCCAAGCAGAAAGCCCTATTCCACCAATGAACCCATGCAAATCGCACCTCATGTCCAGAGGCAGTCAATCTAAAGGAAAAGGGGTAGACAACTGCATACATCAGCCCCTACAACTGATCTTTTTGACTGTCCCCTTCTCCCAAGAAGCACACTGGTTCCACCTCCATTACAGTGCCCCAGCTTTGTTTCTAAGTTAGCTTTGGGGTTGTTTGTGCACAAACACTCTGTGGAAACCTGGCTGAAACCAGATCACTGTGCAGGTTTCCAGAGCCATGCAAACTCACTCGCAGCCTGCCTTTGGGGATCTGCAAAGGGGTCCATGCAGCTAGCATCTAACAGACTGCTGCCAACCAGCAGCTGGGTGGAGACTGCTTCCTGATGGGAGCAGAGGCAAGACGTTCACCAAGCACTAGTGTTTCTTCCTGTAGAGCACTTTGGAGTGTCTGTACCTAGTATCCTCTGGAAGTACAGAGCTTCTTTCTGTTCAGTATCTCTGCTGGCTGGTAGGAACTACCAGACAGCTTTCAGAGCAGTTCATCTGTGCCGTAACACAACTCTAATCTCCAACGTTCTAGCAAGTAATAACAGATGGGCAACAACCTCTACTCCTTCAGATTAACAGAGGAACTTGATTACAGTCAAGTCACAGCTAAATTCCTTGATGGCTGCAAAGCCTCTATGTTCACCTTCACATACTGTTTTCCTTTAAAGCATTAATCATTTAATGTTCCTGCATAAAATCTTTCTGTTTACCTTTAAAGTAAGTCACATTTTTACAGTCATAATAGGTTG